AAAAATCAGCGAATATCATGCAAATTAGGTAATTAATATGCATGGATTTTTACCAAAACTAATCAAATCTGCGCATGGCCCAGAGCATCTATGCACCAAGTTTCATCAAAAACTGATGTATGATTCTTGAGATATCAGTGGAACAGATGGACACACACACACACACACACATACAGACACACTAACTGCAAAGACTCCCTTTTTGTGCTTCGCACACAAGAGTCAAAAACCACGTAATAACAAGCCATGCATAAAAAAACAGTCCCTGTTATTAAATTTAAGTAATATAGTTTTGTTTATAGTAATATAGTTTGTACATAAACATGTCAGAGATATGGATTCAGAAGCTAATGCTTGATTATGATGACTTTTTTAACAGTAAAATGATTGTCATCCAGTCATTTTGTATCTGATCGTCAACTTGTCCATATTGGGAGATATTGCTTTGGAACAGCATTAATTAAAACAAACTGGCCATCTGTTGGTCATTTTGAATTTGACCTGGAGAACAAATTGATGTGCATCATAGTCCCATAATGTCCAATGTATTAGTTTGTTTGAACAAATTCTATCCATAAACAACAGGGTTCTGAAATGCCTGATTTTGATAATTGTTTTAGCACAAAAATGGCATCCATTTGGCTATTTTGAATCAGATCGTCAAACCAATATATCTGTACATCTATGACATAATGTATAATGAATATATCAAATTTGAACACAATCAGTCAAAGCATGTCACAGATATGGCTCTAGAATTGCATTCATTAAAACTAAATGGCCGCCAGTCAGCCATTTTGAATCTGATCTGAAAAACAAAATGAAGTGCATCAAGGACCAATAATGTCTAATGCATGTACTGGTACCAAGATTGAACAAAACCCATCCATAAACGACTAAGATCAGGTTCTGGAATTCAAGAAATTTTTCGATGATTTTTTAGTAATTAGTATCACTCCGAGTACAGTAAATATATATTAAAGCCATATTTTCAATCAGTTTGTAAAATATCACAAACTACACACAAAAATTTAACTTGATGAAGCAATTTAAAAAGTTCAGATAAAAACTACTATTAAAAACTTATTTTGGAGAATGACTAAAAACAATATCCGTTTCAAGACTAGACAAATAAGCTTGTGTTACTCACATTTAGCCAAATGGCACACCATCATAAAAATGGTTTGATACAACAGTTTCAATCATGCAACGATCTCTAGACATAGACAGCAAACCAGTCAGGCAATTTAGCTTGCAATGTGGCTGCTTTATGGCGATGACAGTAGAAAAGTCAGCTAGCTTTGTATTAGATACAGACTCTCAAGATAAAACATGTCCTGAAGCTTTATTTCATAAATTGTTAAAAAAAGACATTTAAAAAAAAACTTGCACCTAGTACTTCCCTGTGCAAATTCTACAAAGAAATCAATCAACAATTAATCCAAGTTAGCAATCTGCCAAGGTTCAATAGGTAAAGGTGAGATTGGTACTCTGAAACAATCACACATTTCATTCACTCATCAACCTCGGACAAAGCTAAAATAGATTGTTTACAAACAAAGAAGATAAAATGGAGATGTTGCATTATATTAAAATAAACATTACCGGTAGTGAAATTATAGATTTAAAATGTATTCCTGATACAGGAACTTGTTTATTCCCTAAACCACAATCACCTGACTATTTGACAGAATTTTGATGAATGAACAGTCCATTGATTACCAATGGCCCTTCCATATGCAAGAACTTACAAGTAACTAAAAATATGTATAGGTAAAATAAATCTGTAAGGCCAGACTTTTATTATCCCTTGTATCGCGAACCCGCCGAATGAACAGGAGTCGAAAATGAAATAAAAATGAAATTTTATTTCAGCTAATTTCTCACGCCCTCTGACTTGTAAGTGCAAAAAATTGCTCAAAAAAAATTATTTTTATCTACATTTTTTTTTCTGCCCGAAGCATAACAAACCCAAGTTGCATTTTCGTGGGAGTATCATGATCAAAGTACCAAAGTCTCGCGCAGATGAGAAACAAGGTTATACATGGAATAAAATTTTATTTCATTTCTTCTCTCCGATCAATGATCTCACTTACAATTCTTTGAGAATCACACAAATTAATGGAAAAAAAAGAATTTTATTTTTTTCCCCGCCCTCCTTGAAAAAATGTCCTTATAAAAACTCGAGAAACAAGGAATAAAAAAAAAGTCTGGCTTAAATAAAGAAAACTTTTAGCACAATATGACAATAGTTGTAAAGTTCAGTACTATTTGTTACTGATCTAGTAGACAATTGTTACAATAATAACACTATAATTTGAAACACATTTTCAACTTAAAAAAAAAAGAAGACTTACTAAAACAACAATGAAAGTGAGAATTAGACCTGCTGACATTTTCACAGTTTATGTTACCCACATTCCTTTTTAATACTAGAACCCCATGACTACCAGGAAAAAATACAAGGTGGAAATATTCAGGGGGAAAACAAAACAGCTTGTGCATTTTCCACAAAGGCTGTCGTATATCAATCTTTATCATTTTAATCTTAAAATTCAACATGCATACAACATAAAAATAAGAGTTACTATCAGTTATACCATGGCTATACAGTACTAAGAATTATTTAAAAAATTTAATGCTATTTTAAACATGTTAATGGTAATTATTATCAAATATAAAACTTATCGCTAGGCACACATTGCAGATTTTACCCCAAACCCATGACCTAAAATTACATTCTGAACAAGATGTTGCAAAGATACGAATGTCTGCAATTGTATGCTATTTATGTGCAAACCACCTTGTTACCTGAGCTGTGCAAGACAATACGACAGCTATTGTTTCATACACACCAATATATTGTCATAATCACTGTGTTCGCTCCATTAGAAGCACATTTTAATAGTTGCATACATAAATCGAAAGTACCGGTATATTTATTGTAAAATGCCATTTATTTTTACTGTAGCAAATACTGCAAGTTAAATTTCCCACTTATTGTACAATCATAGGCAATGTTAATAATGAAGTCTGTATTATTGAATCAAACTCTGTAAAACAGCCAGATACTTGGTAAGACATAAAACAAACTTTTGACATGAATCTTTTCTACATAGAGTGATAGGTAGTAGTAGACGTTGATGGAAATGCTTGTGTTGTCATACCTATCATATCCATAGCAGCGCTGGATGCTAAAACAGAAAAAAAAAAAAAAATTATGTAATAATCTCTTGATGAATTATACGTGTCATATAAGAAAAACAGATGATTTCACAGCAGACTATGTTATTGGAATTAGATGCCGTACTCAATGTGTTCACTGTAAGCATACTGTGAAAGACACACAGACACAAACATACATGCTCATGGTCTAAGTGTTTAGAACAATACACAGTTGATGGGAAACTCATAATATTGCACATGCTCAATTTGAAACTAGCCATACAATGATGACTGTAAATTGTTTTTGTAATGATTTTGCAAAGTGCTGAATTGTTTAGAAACAATTTTGTCTGTACGTCAATATGTGGCCTTAATATAAGTGTGATTTATGCAAATTTACTAAATTACATTCCAAATGTAAAGCAGTAATTTGCCCTGATCGATTTTCAACTCCAGCAAAGTGCCGTCACATGCCATGATTTCTGTTTTTCTCACTCTACAGTGAGTGTTGTCAATCAGTGGTCATAAACAGTTATAAGAACATCGAAAAAACACAGGGCTTGAGTTGTTGAATGAATTTTGTTTGAATTAAAGTTGTTGAATTTTTTTTTTCACATCAGTTTTGTTTTGAAAAAAATAAACGTTCCTGCATGTGTAAATGTTTTTGAATGTGAAATTGAAAATTATGCCTCAAGACAGAATTAATGCGATAAAAGTAATAGTCATGTGACTTTTCTCAGTATTAACAAATTAATTGGTAGTGTTAAAAATACTTCAGGAACATTGAAAATGTCTGATGTTCACCATACAAACTGATGCATAATATCATAAGCATTGATGTCATCATGAGCCACATAGCAGAGAATTTTAAGGTGAGGTTTTTCTCTGTAAATGTTTCAGAATCTGAAAATGATGCACCCATTTTTTTTTCCTTAAGAATTGTATGTCATTGGTTTTGGAGGCAATTTATCACATATTAAAATGACAGTTTAACACTAATTTTCCTGCCAAACATTAATATTATTTCTCTGTAGACATAATTACAATACCAGTCTCACCATTATAATGTGCCCAAGTTGGAGAAGGATGGTTCAGCATTATTGGATCAGTTGTATTCATATTCTGTGTTTCCATGCTGTCAATACTGATTTGATTATCACTACTTTCTGTTGACTCCTGACCATTGCTACTCGTACTCTCTTCTTGCAAAGTCCCAAAAATAGTCATGGCAGCATTCTGATCTTCCCTACGTTGCTGCTGTAGCATCTTGCTCATCATTCCACTCTGTACTCCATGTTTTTTCTGTACATGCTGTCTCAGCTTCCAGGAGTCTGTTGTACTAAAACTGCATATTTGACAGACATGTGGTCGACACTTTTCATGTACAACCAAGTTGTGTTTTTTCAAAACATACTTATCACGAAAAGAAGAATTACATTTACTACATTTATAAGGTCTTTCTCCACTGTGTATTCGTTGGTGGGTAACAAAGGCAGATTTACGATGAAACACTGCTGCACATTGATCGCAAATGTACGTGTTGTGATCTGGATGGCTGTACTGGAAATCTTTCCGCCCATGGAACACTCTAATATGTCTAGTAAGTAAGCCCTGAGCATTAGTTATGAAGGAGCACTCAGAGCAGTGATATGGATTTGTAGACTTATGGGTTGCTTTGTGCCTTGTGAGACTGAAACTGGTTGCAGAGGCAAAGTTACACTGATCACATTTGTAAGGTTTCTCACCAGTGTGAGATCTCATGTGTTTTGTCAAAAAGAACTTTGAAATAGCATGATATCCGCATAAATGACACAGCAATGTGCGTTTAGCACTGCATCTACCGTACTCTGGGTGATGATCTTTAAAATAATGTCTCTTTAGACCTGCAATAGACTTATTGGTAGTTAAACAGTCAGGACATTTGTACGGTTTCTCTTGTTCATGCAGGTATTTATGAAACTGCAGATCAATCTCCCATGTGAATGACTGATCACAGTAGGTGCATTTGTATTTCTCAGGTATCTTCCCATGTTGTTGTAGTTCATGTTTACGCAAGTATGAAATACTGAGGAAGACACATTTACAGGTAGGACAGGTTACAGACTTGTGTCCAAGCTTATCATGGACATCCTTATGATGCTTTATTGCACTATATCTGTTTGTAGCGTAGTCACACTGGTCACATTTCCACTGTTGATTTGCAACATGTGAATCGTTTTTTTTAGTTTCATCCACAGTTGATGGATTCTTTATCACTTTTTTGACATGTTTCTGTTGGTGACGTCTAGCATTAGTATATCTGTTAGTAGTGTAGTCACAGTGGTCACATTTCCATTTTTCACCTTTATGCATACTTACAGAATGTGTCCGAAGTTCTTGTGTAGATGTGAACCTTTCCTCACAGTGTATGCAAATGTGCAGTTTCCCTTCATCAGATTGAGTTGCTGTGTTATTTTTCTCCCCTGGATGTTCTGTGCTGATATGGCTGTTGACAGTAGACTGCTTTATTCCATGGTAAGAGCAATGAGGGCAAGAGATTAATTCAGAATATTTCTTATGGCTTTTCATGTGGCGATTCAGATTCCATCCAGTTGAAGTGCTGAATGAGCATATGGTACATTTAAATGGACGGATTCTCAGATGGCATCTCATGTGGCGTTTTAAATGTGCAGAGTTCAGAGTTACCAGTCCGCACTTCTCACATTTATACTTGCCAGATTTTTTGTATTTGTATTTGTATTTATACTTGTATTGATATTGTTTTCCAGATTTAGGTTCATAGTCTTCATCTCTGGGGTCATCAGCACCACCAATTTCATCCTCATTACCACTTTCTCCTAGTATATCAGGTTCATAGTCCAAATCTATGGTTTCATTATCATCATCGTCATCTGCAATATCATTTTCATCGATGTGATGCGAAGCTGAAGCAGAAGCAACATCAACATTACCGGCACCATGATCTACATTTTCAGCGTTATCATCACCTTGCAAACAGTCATCATTCTTCTTCCCTTCTGCAGTAAATTTTTTACTACTAACTTGATCATTTTGTTTTTCATGCGTCTGTTTTTCAATACATTCTAACTTTATTGTAATAGGAGTCTTGTTTTTACCAACATCAATATCGTCTCCTGATCTCTTTTTTTGACCTTCACCACCAATCATGTTTTCAACATTATCTTGTTCAGGTTTATGATGCAAATTGTCAGTATGGTTTTGGACACTACTAGACTGCTTTTCAGTAATTCTGGAAGGAGACTTCAATTCACCACTTCTTACAGAACGATCTGAATCCACTGATGACTGCTGGACTTGGTCTGATTGTAGATGAATTGCACGACTTCCTGATTGCCTGGCTTGATGGTCAGTTTGTATGTGAATTGGATGAATTCCTGGATTTGTATCTTGCCTTGCTGATTGTCTGTGCTGTAAAACTGGACCACAGTGACTACATCCTGTCATGTGATTCTTAATGAACGCTAAAACAGTGTCACATAACAATCCAACATGGAGATCATGTGGTAATTCGCGTATATTTTGAGCATTAGGGGGAGGATTGTTCGAAGCAAAGCTTGCATTTGCTGTTGACCATTGCGTGTTTGGAAGATTACGTGTAACTGGATTCTGGTCTTCATTAACACTTGAGCCTCTGTTCTGAACTGGTGAATTTTCTTGAGTGAAACTTTTATGATAATTTACATATGTTATATCTGTAGTTGTATTACTGGGAACTGTTGAACCATATTCAGCATGGATACTGGTAGCATGATAAAAACTCTCTTTATCAGGGGCACAAAACTGTTCACCTTGATAGGTTTCCACAGTTTCTCTTTTTGAATCACGAGAATTGCATGTCTGTTGGATAGGCGTGGCAAAGCTGGCATTTGGATGGTAACTCGCCATTTTCATTTGTCCAGACCATTCCCCTTGGTGATTCCTCGTACACAACAATACTCTGCGGCATCTCTGCAAAATTATCTGGAATTGGCAAATTTGGATGCTTCATTTTGTAATGAGTTCTCAGGTAGGTGGCTTTCAGCAAAGTGTTGCATACCGCACACATCAACTTATTTTCAGAATGGGTATCCCTGTGTCGAACTAAATTACATTTCTTGGCCGCAGCATAATCACACAAGTCACACTTGAAAGGTCGTTCACCTGTATGTGTGCGCATATGTATTACCAAGCAAGCATGACTGGGGGCTTCATACCCACATACTTCACATACAGAATGCAGTATTCTACTACCGGAAAGTCTTGTCTGGTGTCTAAGCCTGTCAATTTCTGGTGTTTCTATTACAATTTCTGTTATATCTTGTCCAGTCTCCCCTGCTGCTACAGTTGAAGAGTTCATGATTGTATTTCACCTTGTACCTGTAAAGAAGAATATGTTGCTTTATAACATATATACTTCACCTGCATGGTGAGAAAATATTGATTATTTCCAGTGACTTTTTTTTCTGAGCGACAATAATATATTAAAATATATACAAAATAACTTATACAGGGGCTTGTCAACTTGCTTGGTCATTCTATCAATAATATTTGTTACATGTTGATGAGTGTGTCCAAGAGTGCTAAGCCATTTTGAGAAACTTTAATCAAAGGCATGAAATATCCAACACATTGATGTAAATAAAATCAGAATAAAGAACACCGAGTTAATTATTAATGTGGAATAATTCATTAAACAAAAGTTTCGAAATGGAACTACAATATTTTCATAAATATCAAATAAAGATTATTATTATTATTATTATTATTATCATTTAGAGCGAGTGCAACATAAATAATTTAATTAATTGCGACTGACAATTGACTTGCATCTAATAGTCCGGGATAATATATACTAGTACATTATCGTGTTGTAAGCCGGTCAAGAAATTAAAACCGAGGTAAGCCACTAGTACCAGTATTTGCCAAATTTTAGAATCTATGACATACTGACCTTCAGATATTGCGCTGTACTTCGATATAAGAACACGTCTGTCACAATTTCAGGTTTAAAAACCTCGCGACGATATTTATTCGCGTACTCAATACAGATCGGGGTCAAGTCTGCATTTTCCGAGTTTTTAATCCTGTGTTAAACAGCGCGCCCACTACGACATTAATCTAAATCTCGTATCTTGTGTCTGTCATTTTCAGTTCCAGCGTAAACTCATATTTAAAATACAGTCAGAAAATGCTTTTATGTCAGAATACGCTTACTGTACTTGCAGTGGATTTTCTTTTTATTATTATTTTATGAAATGAAGATAAGATGCGTTTTATTTCCAGGCTGTATCAAATCACGCGAGAACAAGCAAAGGTTGGATGGTTCCCGGCGTTCTCTGCGCCAGCAACAGATTTTCTTTTCGTTTTGCGTAAAAGACGCCGGAAACTAGCTATTTTATAGCACTTGTGCTACAAAGACTGAACATGTGGTGCACACTGTAAAATGCTGATACGATTCGTTTTATTAGTAACGCAGATGAAACCCGTGGACTCACCTGGATTCTGGGTAGCAGTGCTCTGTAGCCAATTAAAACCTGGTTTCAAAAAAAGATCGACGTTGAGGGCGCTTTTAAGTAAATACAAAAAAAATGGTATTTTTTTGCCCAAAAATGGCCTAAACTATAGCTCTGTGTCACAATGTTTAGTACGTTTAATAGTCATTATTTCTATTGTATTTCATTGTGTTGTAGTCATCAAGACTAGAGAACACATATCTGGAGAAATATACCTTTAATAGTTTTCAATCAACATTAAACATGCGCTCAATTTGATTAACATAGACATAGAATCGTAGTTTGTTTTTGAATTTATTTTTTGTCTCTGTTTCGAACAAAGTCCAAAATTAGGGACTATTACTTTGACTGATCTCATTCAAACCATACACAAAGACATAATATTTTACAGGTGTGTTTTTTAATTATTTGAAGATCAGAACAAAAATGGCCAACTCGTGACCATTTTAGACATGAAATTTGCTATTTTTGATTCTCAAATGTGTCAGTAGGTTTTGATTTTGATCAAGGTTGGTATGATGATAAATTTTTTTTGCGATTCGAACAAATTTTGCTGCTTGGCTGCAATTTTGTTTTTTTACATAATTTCTCCCCTTTTTTTGATAAACTTTACATTTTTTTTTTGGCTATTCAATTCTTAATTCAGCTGTTTCTCTGAGATGACTATGGTGATTTTGATCAAAGTCGATGGGTAACACATTAACATGCTGAATAATCCTGCAACATTTAATTATAATCTACATCTGTAATTGATTTTAATTGACACAGTAATGACTTGTTTAAATATATTTTATATCTTTAATATTATTTTAATCCAATTTCATTTATTTTTTATTTTTCAGTACCTGTGTATGTAATGATAGTTAAACTAACACACAAAATATTATGTATGTACAAAAAAAAAATAATACCGGGGGGGGGGGGGGGTAAAATAAAATAAAAAATATTCGCAGTACATTACTTATAATCATCAGACTATTTTTTTTGATTCTCCCCTCTGTTGGTTATGTTTTGAATAGTGTTTTCATATGCTGTGTATATTGTGAAACGTTAGTGATTTACTAACTGAGGGCAGGGGGTTCATCTGGTGTCATAGTCAGAAATAGAATTCGTTTAACACATGATTTACATATGAAGTTAATATGTGTTTTCTGATCCAACACGGTCTGATTATCTTGTCTTCACCCTCAACCTCATGAATTTTTAACATTCAAATTTTGGTGCAATATTTTGTACTACTGAGCTATTTCAATTGGGGTTCATAGTAAACTCTGCCATTGGTGGCCACTTGACCAGCTTCACCTCTCTGCCATGGGTTTTGACATGACCAGCTCCACCTCTCTGCCATGGGTTGATGCTTGACCACCTCCACCCCTCTGCCATGGGTTGACGCTTGACAAGCTCCACCTCTCTGCCATGGGATGACGCTTGACAAGCTCCACCTCTCTGCCATGGGATGACGCTTGACAAGCTCCACCTCTCTGCCATGGGTTGACGCTTGACAAGCTCTACCTCTCTGCCATGGGATGACGCTTGACAAGCTCCACCTCTCTGCCATGGGTTGACGCTTGTCATGCCTCACACCTCTGCCATGGGTTGCAATTGACAAGCTCTATCTCTCTGCCATGGGTTGACGCTTGACAAGCACCACCTCTCTGCAATGGGTTGACGCTTGACAAGCACCAGCTCTCTGCCATGGGTTGACGCTTGACCAGCTCCACCTCCCTGCCATGGGTTGATGCTTGACAAGCTCTACCTCTTTGCCATGGGTTGAGACTTGACAAGCTCCACTTCACTGCCATGGGTTGACACTTTACAAGCTCCACCTCTCTGCCATGAGTTGATGCTTGACAAGCTCCACCTCTGCCATGGGTTGACGCTTGTCATGCCTCACCTCTCTGCCATAGGTTGACACTTGACAAGCTCCACCTCTCTGCCATGGGCTGACACTTGACAAGCTCCACCTCTCTGCCATGGGTCGACGCTTGTCATGCCTCACACCTCTGCCATGAGTTGACACTTGACAAGCTCCACCTCTCTGCCATGGGTTGACACTTGACAAGCTCCACCTCTCTGCCATGGGTTGACGCTTGACAAGCTTCACCTCTCTGCCATGGGTTGACGCTTGTCATGCCTCACACCTCTGCCATGGGTTGACACTTGACAAGCTCCACCTCTCTGCCATGGGTTGACGCTTGACAAGCTCTACCTCTCTGCCATGGGTTGACGCTTGACAAGCACCACCTCTCTGCAATGGGTTGACGCTTGAGAAGCACCAGCTCTCTGCCATGGGTTGATGCTTGACCAGCTCCACCTCTCTGCCATGGGTTGACGCTTGTCATGCCTCACCTCTCTGCCATGGGTTGACACTTGACAAGCTCCACCTCTCTGCTATGGGTTGACGCTTGACAAGCTCCACCTCTGCCATGGGTTGACGCTTGTCATGCCTCACCTCTCTGCCATGGGTTGACACTTGACAAGCTCCACCTCTCTGCTATGGGTTGACGCTTGACAAGCTCCACCTCTGCCATGGGTTGACGCTTGTCATGCCTCACCTCTCTGCCATGAGTTGATGCTTGACAAGCTCCACCCCTCTGCCATGGGTTGACGCTTGTCATGCCTCACACCTCTGCCATGGGTTGACACTTGACAAGCTCCACCTCTCTGCCATGAGTTGATGCTTGACAAGCTCCACCTCTGCCATGGGTTGACGCTTGTCATGCCTCACCTCTCTGCCATGGGTTGACACTTGACAAGCTCCACCTCTCTGCTATGGGTTGACGCTTGACAAGCTCCACCCCTTTACCATAGGTTGACGCTTGTCATGCCTCACACTTCTGCCATGGGTTGACGCTTGACAAGCTCCACCTCTCTGCCATGGGTTGACACTTGACAAGCTCCACCTCTCTGCCACTGCTTGACACTTGACAAGCTCCACCTCTCTGCCATGGGCTGACGCTTGACAAGCTCCACCTCTCTGCCATGGGTCGACGCTTGTCATGCCTCACACCTCTGCCATGGGTTG